AGCAGGGATGAGCAGTTATGGGTGACCAGGCAGGCAGGCAGAGTGATTAGGGGCAATCAGGCAGGCAGGCAGGTGAGCAGTTAAAAGCCAGCAGTCCCGGATTGCAAGAGGGATCCGATTGCAGAGGGTGCAGGCTGGGCTGAGGGAACACCCCCCTCCATACACAAATTTCATGCACCAGGCCTCTAGTATACATATACGTTCTTTGGTTGATCTCTTCCCACCCACCCCCACATTCCCTCTGAGATTCAATTGGATCTTCTGAAGAACTTTACCTAAGAATTAGTGGGAATAAATCTTTAAAATATTGATACCCTACTGTGAATTGGCTCATTAGCTAACTGAGTTAAGGTAATTTTCCCCTACTATAATTGCCTGTCAGAAACTACAAGTCATCTAGAGCACCGACAATTTCTCATACAGAGTGGTATTAAAAAATTACCAGTCACAGAATCAAAACTAAGGTAAAAGTAGACAAGAGAAGCAGACCCACAGCTAATTCAGGCATAGAAGTTAAAAGTCATAGCCTTTAGGCCTGTCCAGTGTGGCTCAGTGGTTGAGTATCAACCTATGAACAAGGAGGACATAGTTCAATTCCCTGTCAGGAATCCCTCTCTGAAATCAATAAAAATATATATTTTTTGAAAAGGTTTTGGGTTTGATTCCAGGTTAGGGCACATATCTGGGTTGTGGGTTCGATATCTGGTTAGGGAGTGTATGGGAGGCAACTGATAGATGTTTCTCTCATTCTCCCTTTCTAAAAGCAATAAAGACATATTTTTAAAAAATAAACAAAAAAAGGAAATGAGGAAGTAATCAAAACAGCACACTAAAAGGGAAAGCAATCAATGAAACACAAAAGAAGGCAGTAATGAAGGGATTGAGGAACACAAATTATAGAAAAATCAAATAGCAAATGACAGAAAAAGTCCTTCCTCATCAGTGATCACTTTAGACATAAATGATTTAAACTATCCAATTAAAAGACAGGCATTAGCAGGATATAGATTTAAATATGTTTGTTATGGATTTTAGAGAGAGAGAGGAAGGGAGCCTTTGGAAAGTCCCTGTTTGTGGGTCACAGTATTCATTCCATGAGGATTTTGAGCATAGCAATACCACCTTCTGTAGATACTCTTTGGACAAAGTTTCTAGCTTGCTATTGACCCTATTTGAGGGCCCTGCTTTTACTCTTTCTGAATCCTCCTCTTAAAAGTTAATAACTATCCTGAATTCTAATACCAGAGAGAAGGAGAATTCCGTAGATTAGATGGCATGTTTGTGACCCTGGAAAAGCAAACAAACAAAAGGGGCAATTTGAGACTCCAGGAAAATAAAAAGCTAAGCAAAAAAGTAAATAATTATTGGAAATAATTTGCTTTGTTATGAATTTCCTCATTTTATAAATTTTCTTGTTCATATTATTCAGTTATTTTAAAGACCATGACTATTTTTTAAAATATATTTTTATGTTTTAAATTTTTTTAAATTGATTTCAGAGAGGGAGAGGGAGCGAGAGATAGAAACATCAATGAAGAGACATGCTCTCTACTGGGGAACAAGCCTGCAACCTGGGCCTGTGCCCTTGACCAGAACTGAGAGATAGAAACATCAATGAAGAGATAGAGAATCAGATCAGCTGCCCCATGCATGTCCCTTACTGGGGATTGAGCTTGCAACCTGGGCATGTGCCCTTGACT